GATGTTGGATGGGTTGTGACACATGTGACCGTTGGTTTCATTGTCATTGTATAGGACTACGTGTAGTTCCTAAAGGACACTGGTCTTGTAAATATTGCTAAAAACGTTGTATGTGATTGTTATAACAATTTTTTGCATCTGTTTCAAATAGCCCCACCAGTGAAAAATTGGTTATGTTCAGATTTTGATTAGCAAAACAAGCGTAACAGCTTTGCAAATAAAAAACTTTAACACAGAATTGTTAGCTAGTGTCAGCTCTATGATATGTAAAAAAACTGAGCCTCCAATATCTTCTGTTACGAAATTTGAGCCAAATTATTGAATTTTGTTCCAAATAGCCCCGCCCTACCTTACATAATTCACTGTCAAAAAGAATTTAAAAAGCATTGGTTATCATACTTTTCCTTCATGGACCAAGGATTTGCTTAATATAAACTTATTTTCACAGTCACCAAGGCAAATAGTTCTTTAAAAAAGAGCATGTACATGATAAAATAGGTTGCTGTGCCAGCATTATTCTTTGTGCTCTTGAGACTCTATTATGCTCAAAAAAATGCCAGCCTAATATTCTCAGGCTTACTCTCATCACTATATCCAATACTCTTTTGTTCTGTAATCTGGAGGCCTTACCTTATTAATAATATGCCTAAAGGTGGGCAGCTTTGTTGCCAGTACCTTTGATGTGGTTGATCACAATGCTGTATAGTGGAAAAGCTAATTTAATAGTTATTATGTAAACAAGCACAAAAGATAGGCATAGATCTGTAACAAGATAACTCTAGATAGTGTGATCCTGTTAAGTGTTCTGCAGCCTTGGGCTTATGCTATTGAATGGGAGTTTTACCATTGATTTTCTTCCTATTTTTGCTAATATTATATTTTGCTAAACCAGAGCCCCCTTGAAAACGCTAAAATTTAAGAGTGCAATTAATACCCACCCTAAAGTAAATAGTCCTTGAGCGGAAAGTACAAAGAAGGGTGACCAAGTTCATATTTAATGACTTTACCAGTGAGACTTAGGTCTTTTAATCTCCTCCCACTGATAATGACCATTAAACTCCTTACTTATCATCCAGGACTCACTATTTATACCAATGCAGCACTGCATGGTCATCATAAGACATCACTTCTGGTCTGTATTCCAATCATTTTTTAGCTCTAATCATGCATGCACCTTTTAATCACTATGTCCATGTGATTTATGTATGTTAAATCCTCCTACTGAAATATCTCTTAACAAAATTAATATTTAGTATTTTAGTGTTACACTTTATGTGTTAATCTGTTTGTAAAGCCTATTTCCGCATGTTCAACTGAGACCTATCTCTAAATTGTCCTCAAATTTTTAATCTCTTATTTGTGTCACTGGGAAGTTATTATTATTATTATTATTATTATTATTATTATTATTATTATTATTATCATCATCATCATTATTATTATGTTATAGAAGTACCTCTTGTTCTCTACTATAGGCTATCAACCAGTGGAGAGAAGTGGACTCTTCACAGTAAAGGTAGGAGACTACTTATACATGTGGGGTGGGTTTCTGTCTGGAGAACTTGACGGTGATATGGATAAATCAATGACATCATCAATGGACCTGTATCACTTACCAACTGGTTCATGGGAGGGTAGACCAACAAATGGCAACCCTCCACTACGTGCCAGTGGATATTCATCTGCTGCTATTGGAAACAACATCTATTTCTTTGGTGGTAATAGGGCTAGTAGCTATCGTAATAGCTTACATTGCTTTAATGTGGATTCATTCAACTGGAGGGAGCTCTCTCCTTCTAGTTCTGATCGTGGCCCAATGAAGAAGACCTACTCTTGTATGATATCAGCTCATTTTGACGGTGAAAACTATCTTACTATAATTGGGGGAATTCGATCATCTTCTATCAAATTCAATACTCCAAAGCAACCTGATGCTCAGTATTCAGCTGATGGTAGATGTAATGAGATACATTATTACAGGATTTTATCAGGTCAGTAATTTTCATCATTGATACACAATAGTTTATTAGTATTTCAAACTGAATAATTTATGTTAATGTACATAAAACAGATTGTTAATAATTAAGTGTGTTTGTTACACAACCAATTGTTATCACCTTAGATCAGGACTGTATCAATCTGAATCATACTGATATCAGTCATGAATCATGGTTTTCGTGTAATCAGTCATGATGCAACTGCAAAAATCAGCTATGATACAATCATGATAAAATTTGTACTGATCCATGCCAGAATATCAGGCATGATTGATAAAATAATGTGTCGGGGCTGTACCAGTATAGGATATCAGACTTGGTCCATTATTTTGGGGCAAAAGTGCTGATTCAGGCATGATAACATTTGGTTGTGTAGTGTGTCATGTGTTTGTGTGTGATGGTGACATGTGTCTATAAGTAGTGTGTGTGTGTATTAATGCATACATTACCCCCGTGGGTCTAATATTTTGTAGTTCACTTCCAGTGGAGCAATTTATGGTTTTAATTTTGTGGTTGACAGTCTCTAAAGCTGGATTCAGAATATTTGTGTTGCGACCGGAAGTGCCAGAGCAGAGTTATATTCTTGCATTTACCCATTGTGTTATATGGCACTTCCGGTCACAACACAAATATTCTGAACCCAGCTTAAGGGAAAGGCTCTTCAATGATATTGTGGTTTTAAATTTTGTGATAAGTCCAAAAACCACCAAAATAAAGCACCACAAAAATTACCTGCTAAATATGATGTGTCTAGTGTATGGTAGTGCATATAATGTATGTGAGAATTTATGAATGTATGACGTGTGTATGTGACGTGTATCTATAATGTGCATGTTATGTGTGTATGAGTATTATCATGTATCTGTGTGTGTGTAATGTTTGTATATGTACATGTATCTATACAGAAACTAATGTGACATGAGAGTGTGTGTGTAGGTCATGTTATTTATTATCATTTTTAATGAGGTTCTGTATCACAAGTCACAAATTACCCACATACAATGTTCCATCAGTTTTTGTATCATTATTCATTAACAATCATACATGTAACTGACATGTACCAGTAATCTTCAAATAAGGGCACCCCTGCACCTCTCCTTCATGTGTACAGGTGTGGTGTGTGTAATAGTTACTTCATCATTAAAGACTTTGGCCAATAATGTACAAACACACATGTAATGTACAGTATGTTGTATATATAATGAATGTGTATAATGTATGTGTGTGTATGTGGTAAGTAATTAAGTGTACATGAATGTTTGTACATTATTATTAGATCAATGGATATCTCCTGTTGTTACTGGAGACAGACCACCTCCTATTGAGGACTTCACTCTAACACCAGTTACTAATAACACTGCGGTAATGTTCGGAGGCTCTACTATTAATGGAAGGAGTAATAAACTGTATATGATAAGTTTCGCTAAGACATCAGTGGTGAGTTAATACTGTAGATTGAGGGTTTCCAATTAAATTGCATACAAAAGAATTGTATTCTATCAAAACTGCAGTGGCATGGCTTCACAAGTGCAAGCAAATTGCAGTCAATAAAATGCAATTTAGATTATTTGTCACCAGTCCTGATGCACAAACCTACAATAATTAATAGTAACTTTTTTTATTATTTTCTCAGGATATATTAGAAGTACCAAATCCTGGAGGATCAGTACAATGGCCTAAGGGAAGATGGGGTCATTCCAGTGTACTGATTACAACTAGTTCAGGACCACACTTACTAGTGGTGGGTGGATATGATGCCAATGATGTATGGTTACTGGACATTAACAAAAGAAAATGGAAAGAAGTGGTAAGTATTATATTACAATGCTTGATAAAAAAAACATAATGTGATTAACTAAATTTGTAACTCATGAGGTTTGTAATGTACATGTACATATTATGATACTGAGTGAAAACTACTGATGAATAATGCTGGTATTCAGTATGTGTGTGTGTGTCAGTCTGTTTTTAGTGTGATTGTGTGTTTGTGTCTTCGTGTTTTGTTTACCTAAAAATGTGTATGTATACATATACATGTACATTTTTCTGTCTGTGTTGTGTGTATGTGTGCATAATTTATGTGTATGCGTGTACTAACATGTGTATACATGCACTGTAAGTTGGGACATTTTCTTGTTAAAAGGTGTTTAATTTTTGTTGGTGACCCATCCATAATTTTTTTAACACAAAAAATTTTGGATGACTAGGAGCCTCTTGAGCTTATTGAAAAGCGCTGCTGCATGTTTAAAATAATTTCAGTAATCTTATTATTTGGTGTAGAAAATATTTTTGTGCATCAAAATTTTTTGGGTCACTTCAACGACAAAAAGACTTTAACAACAAAAATTTCCCAATCTATGGTACCTATATCTATGCATGTATAGATGTACATGTATGTGTGTTAGTGTGTCATTAGTATGTGTATGTGTATGTGTGTACATGCAGACACTTAGTAAGTTCTTAATTGAGGACTCACATGATATAATAACTGTGATAATGGTGCTTTGACATTTATGCATTCATGTACATGTACACGTAACTACAATATTCTGTTATTGGACTCGCGTAGGCGGGTACTAAGCAGTTGGGTTGTCATTCTGTCATTCTGTCCACACAGTTTATTATTATTATTACTATGTATTCATTGTTGTTGTACATATGTTATGTATATATGTAGGTATTATTATTGTTATTTTTATTATTATCATTGTTATTATTATTCTTATTGTTACTTGTATTATCCTTATTGTGGCCATTACTATTTCTATTTATAGGCAGACTGTCAATATGACATCATATGATGAATTATGATTTTTAGTATAAGTGCATGCTTTTACTGTATTTGTTGTTTATTTGTTCGTTCATTTATGTCTTCTTCCTTCTACTTCATTATTTTCATTCTCATTTAAAGTCCTCTTTGAACCTAGCGAGTTTGCCATTCTCACATTACTGAGACATGCATGCTGTTCTTTCATACGCTCATTGTGTTTCACTTCAACTACTGGTTGCTATTCAATTTAATTCCCGGTGCCCAATATTACACTGGCAGCAAGGTAAATGGTCATGGCAACTCATGGGAAGATGTCTGCATTTGATCCAGCAAAAGAAACCTGGACTACTTACATGGAAGGCTTACAGTTCTACTTTCTAGCAAATGGCATCACAGAAGAGGACAAGATAAAAGCAGTGTTCCTTACTGTGTGCGGGGCACCTACTTATCAACTCCTAAGGGGACTACTTCAACCTCAAACCCCACTCAATGCCTCATTTGATGAAGTAAAGACTAAACTGGGGGAGCATTACAGTCCCAAACCCTCTAGCATTGTGCAGAGATACACTTTTCACACAAGAGTCAGACATCAGCAGGAGTCAGTAGCAGACTATGTGGCAGCACTTTGTGCAATTGGTGAGCATTGTGAGTTTGGGGACTCCTTAAATGACATGATTTGTGATAGATTTGTGTGTGGTGTTAACAATTTGAGAATTTTAACCTGCTTGCTACAAGATAGGCTAACTTATGAGCTAGCAATCAAGACGGCACAGACCATGGAACTGGCATCACAAAATGCACAAGATTTGTCAAAGCAGCTCTCATCAGCTCCAGTAAATCAAATGAAACATCAAAGAGAGCAACACAAGACACTGAAAGAAATTGAATGCTACAGATGCGGTGGTAGGCACTATGCTACCCATTGTCATTTTAAAGATGTTAACTGTCGCAGCTGTGGTAAGAAAGTTCATCTGGCAAAGGTCTGCCGTAGCTCTAAGAAAGAAGATCACAGCAACCATTCACACCAGAAACCATCAAGATCTGCTAATAAGACTCCATTCAAATACAATGCCCATTCATTTGACCACAAACCAAACCCTCACCATTCAGCTACTGTTACAATACCACACTTAGTTGTGTATACTTGTCTATTATTATATTGTGTATTATTAATTTTATTATGTCAACTTTGTGTTACACAAAACACACTGTGCAAACTATAAAACTGTTAGTTATTGTGTTTATAAATTTTTAATATGTCTCACAAATTAATTATTATCATTTAAATTTTTATAGATAAATCTACCAGACAATGTCACTAACAGATACGATCATTCTCTCTCAGTGTGGAGTGTAACCCCATCGACTAACTGGATAATTGAGTTTGGAGGATTTACACAATACACTGATACAGCAGTTATTGAACTCAGTAAGTACATGTAGACAGTAGTAGATGCAATGTGTAATGATATTATTAATGATAATACAATAAATTAAGTAAATACAATAAACCAAGAATATCTTATGTTTAATATTTTAGTGAGACCTAGCATTTGACACACTGTATATTTCTAATCATCACAAATTCATTCTATATTGAAATTACAGTGTAAATCTAATAGAATAATATGTTCATGTGGCTAACTGTATAAATTGACATAGGTCACACATTAAACATGTAATAAGATTACCATAGTAACTAGCTGTAGTTAATTTGTGTATTTCTTATTCTCTACTATTTTGTTACTGTATAGGATATACTAGTGATGATGATTGGTCTACTAGTGTAATACCTCTGGACCAGTATCAAGATCAACTAAGAAGAAGGATACTGGAGAATTTAGGATTAAGCGAAGAGGTTCAATTACTCAGGGGGCACCTACAAGAAAGGGAAAGAGAATTCTATGAGGAACAGCTTCAAAGAGAAATAAAAGAGAAGGAGCAAATACAGCAAGATCGAGACAAAGAGCAGCAACAACTTCTTCAAGAAAAGGCAACACTTACTCAGCAACTTGATGATGCTACCACTCTCCTTGAGCAAGCAGAAAAGGATAAATCAACTCTTGAATTAGGTACTATTGTGTTGTACTGTTGTTTATGTGTACATTCTTTACATTATAGTACTAGTGGATTACACAATGTTGAGTATGGAAAAAGTATCCTGTACTCAATATGCATGTAGATCAAATTGTCCATCATTACAAATAATGAGATTCATCTAGAGTGAGCTCTGCTTACCATATATGGTATCATTAGCAGTAATCATAGTACATGTATTTGTGGGCCACTGTACATGCAGTGCAAATTTGTTTATAAGCAAAAAGAATCATTTTTTCTACTTTTGTATTTTTATTAATATTAAAAGATAATGAGAAGCTTAAAGCTAAAGTTGCTGATAATGAAGAGAAGAAGCAGATTATTACTGGTTAGTGTATCATCAGTACATAATATTAGATGAGAGAATATTCTATTAATGTAGAAGATTATGAGAAACTTAAACTCAAAGTAGCTGATATGGAGGAAAAGGAAGAGCAATATCTCAAGGAGAAGCAGATCGTTATTGGTTATTTAACTATACACACAGCATGTACCGTATAGCAGGAAATTTTTGTGGCTCAAAAAATTTTGTGGTTTTTGAAATTGTAATTTGTGGTTTTCTAATTTCGGCCATCTTAACCATATTAAATTGATTTTCACGGATTTTATTTTTGTGAATTTTTAAGAAATGCGAAATCCACGAAAATTTTCCGCTTTATGGTGTTTAATGAGAGAATATGTTTATTGTGTAGACAACAATCCAAATCTCAAAACTGATATTTCTCAAAGTAACAAAGTTGTAGCCAAACTGACATCACAAGTAGAGGAGCAATCACAGAATGAGAAACAGATCATTACTGGTTAGTGTATCATCATCAATCAATGATTATTATTAATATTCTATTAATTTATAGACCTTAAAGAAAAGGAGTTGTACATAGCCAAACTAGTGAAGGAAAGACAAGAGAGGGTCCTCAAGCAACCTATCAAAGAGACTAGTTCCATTGGACTACAATTTAATTACCTGATCCCTTCAATGGGTAAATTATACACATGTACATGTACACATGTGAATGATTGTGTGTATACTATACAATACTGGTATTAGATATGATGTGTCTGTATTGTTTCAGATTCACTAGACTCTAGTGTCATTATAGCTGGACAGAAGCTCTTTATCCTACAAGGAGACAGGCCTCACTCACTCCAGTGGGAGAAATATGGATTCAGATTAGAGTGTCCTCAAGGAGCAGTGTCCAAGGATACTGAAGTAGCTGTTACTGCACTAGCTGGTGGTAATTTCAAGGTACCCAAAGGTACTGTGCTAGTGAGCGCAGTATATGCAATATCAGTATCTAAGGCACTATTAAAACCACTGATAATAGAGCTACAACATTGTGTGGATCTAAGGAACACTAGTCAGACTGGTTGTCTCAAGTTTGTGAGAGCTCCACTGAAGTCTCCTTACCAGTTCAGTATAGTTGAAGGAGGATCTTTTAGAGTTGGGGAAAGATACGGATCAATAAAGCGTGAGCAGTTCTGTTGTATGGGTATTGTAGCTGAGATGAGTAATGGAGACACACCTAGTGACAGTGAGAGTGAGGAAGGTTATGAGACACCACCTGAAGGTACATGTATGATGGAAATAGTGTTTTATTATCAATAATGTACAATAATAGGATCAACTGATGACACACATAATGATAGTAGTAATGGAGCAAGGGAGACTAGTGAGAGAACTGCCTCACCAATAAATACTGGACTATCTCAAGGTATGTGTGAATGTAATTGTGTTGTATTAAGTTTCATTTTCATAGAATCAGTAACTGATGACTCTAATCAAAAAGTACAAGAAGTTATGTCTACTTCTAGTATGTATTCATTGTATAATTTATTAAGTACATTCATAATGAGGTTTTGTATTATTAGGTGCATCTAATGTTAGCAATGAATCAACTGAAGATGAAGTAAAACAAAAACCAAATGAAGACAAAGGTATATGTCACAGTTATTATGCTTTAATTTATAATTGTAATACAGGAGTCACTCTACTGTACACTGGAATGATGTATCATGAAGAGAAGAAAGTTAATCAATGGATGACTACATTTTCTGTTGTTAGAGATTTAGAAGTCCTTCAGCAAGTATGTAATGTAATTATGAAGAATGTCATTTATTGGAATTTTAGTATTTAAGGAATGAGCATCCTAAAGCTGAAAAAGATGGTCCAATTGTTTCATTCAAATACAATCAACCTGATGGTATCCTTCAGTTGTGTCTACAAGATACTCCATCACTTGAATCAGGATGGACTGTACATCCTGACCAATCCCCAATGCAAGTATGTACAGTTTACATGTGTATAATACACAGTATGACTGTTACCTATTATTATAGATACATCAATATGTAGTGGACAAGTTTATAGACAATCCTATGTGTTCCAGTATCCATATATCAGTGTATGCTGAAACTGGTGTTGCTAAAAAGCCACTTCATTGCCCCATTGAATTAACTGGGATAGATCCTTCAAAAATTGTCTACATCAACAAATCACCTCCTGCTCCTCCTCTATCAATGAGTAAGTCAATGATAATTACATTAGAATTAATTTAATTATCTTCTTTCACAGATCCTATCTCCTCTATTGTAGTACATGAATCAACGTCAGTATCATCCACTGAAGGAGCTAGTAAGTGATAATACTATGTGTATATACTGACCTTTGACCTCTATTAGGTCCATCAGCTCCTGCTGATGTCAATAAAGTAAAGAAAGTGATTGATGATGTTCTTGTATCTCATTATGCTGATCTCAATTCTCTTAAGACATCTCTCTCAGATCTTGCCAGTCAGTTATATGCAGCTCATCTTATTAGTGATGAAGTCAGAGAGACTTGTAGCATGGAAAAGTTCATTACAGAGTTCAAGGCTAGTCTTAATTTCAAGAGGAAGTTACCTCAAGTGCAGGAACACTGTCAAAAGTTCTTAGACTCATTCATTGCTGTAAGAGGCAGTTATGCTGATGCAGCAATAGCTTTAGGTGAGGACTGGATTGAAGCTGTTAGTGAACTGGGACTTGATTTTAATATTAATATTAATACTTAATGATTTTGATTGGCTTTTTATTTTATTATTGCTTATTTTGAATATTTTAATTTTTTTTTAATTTTGGTAATTCACAAAAAAATTTAATGAAGAAGAGTTTAGCAATATTACTGCTAGTATTATGCTTCAATTCTACTGACAATAAACATAGTACAAATAGTAACACAAGATTATGATAGTGTGTATTATGTGGCGAGACTAGTTCTGGTATTAATACTTGGACTTCTTTTGAGAATCATCTGTATCTTGATATCAAGTAATTTTAAAAATCCCTGTTCTTTACTACCATAGTTCTGCCCATGGTGGTTGGGGGTAGCCTGGGCAACCACCTCAACTAATGAACCAACCAGTTCATCACTTAGACCACCCCGCATGCAGTTAATACTAATAACCATAATTAAACCATGATATTATATCTACTAGTTTGGTGTACATAAATTTAAAAGCTAGGGAACAATACTAGAAGGATGTATCATATAGTGGAAAATTTTTGTGGATTTTGCGTTTTTTCAAAATCTACGAAAATAAAATCTGCGAAAATTGATTTAATACGGTTCAAGATGGCCAAAAAGTAAAAAACCATGAAAATTAAAGCCATGAAATTGATTTTTGAAAGGATCCGCGAAATTTTTGGGCCACGAAAATTTTCTGCTATACGGTAAAACATTAAAGGGGAATGAAATCTACCAATGGAAGTTTTCCCTGATCTTACCAATAAATTATTTGCTCTTCGTTTGGTCAATAATGCTGTCAGAGTGAATTCTTCAATAGAGAAATATATCGATGAGTTCAAGGCTGGTCTTAATTTTCAACAAAAGTTACCTCAAGTGCAGGAGCACTGTCAAAAGTTCCTAAGCTCATTCATTGCAGTTGGTGGCAGTTTTGCTTATGCAGCAACAGCCCTGCACCAGGACTGGGTTGAAGCTATTGATGCTTAATAATAATTTGATTGGCTTTTTTTATTTTGAATACTTCTAAAATTTTGTCAATTCACAAGAAAATTATTTAATAACGAAGAAAAGTTTAGCAATGATGGCATATAATTTAATTCTACTGATGACAACAAAGTACAAACAGTAACACATGATGATAGTGTGTACAGTACAAGTTCTGGTATCATTAATACTTGGGATTCTTTTGAGAGTGGAAATAACATAATCTGTATCTTGATATCAAGTGATCTTGAACAATCCTTGTTCTTATAGCAAGTGATACTACCACATAATAAACACCTAATAATAATGTATAAAGTGATGTACATGTACATGCACATACAAACAGACAGACAGTATTTGATATACTGACTTGTCCTTCACCCAATTAATAAGTATAGATAGTAATGAGTACATTAGTCTTAAACCAGACCCACCTGTTTGAACTTGTATGGGTTCATTGAGGAAGAATATCCTCTGATGCCAGTGAGTGGGTGTATCTTGAGGACTAGTACTCAAGTACACAGGATAAGAGGGAACCTCAAACCCAATGACAAAGTATCCAACAAGACCCTACAACATATTAATAATAAACCAGACCTTAGGGAACTTGTTACATGTACATGTACAACATTGATCAGTGCTAAGTTACTAACTGCAGTGGCAATAGGTCAAAGATACAATAATTGAAGATTTTCAAACCAATTTTCAGAAATTGCCTCAGTTTCAAATTACCAAATTCAATGTGCATCAGAATTCAACAAAACATAATTATGGTGACTTCGGAACCATTTTTCAGAACAAACCTGAAAACAAACCAAGATCAGCAGTAGGTTCATTATGTCTCAGGGATGAAAAGCCACTACAGTGCACGTGTATAGTTGAGAGTATGAGGGGGAGTCCAACCATACTGGTATATAATGCATTTCAAAATGCACCTTTATAAAGTGAAAGACAAAACCAGCTCTTTGATATGATTGAGCTAGGAAGAGCAGCAGACTCACTATAGCTGCCTATAGACAATATAGTAGTTTAGTAGGGAAGTATAATGGAGTCTTGTAATAGCATCTAAGTTTTATTTGTGACTCTGATTCACACAACTCTTTGATGAAGTGATACCGTACCAGAAATAACGATCGAGACAGTTATAAGATGGTCAATCAATGATGGCATTAACATGAGGCTGCGAGGATAAAGATGTAATCACTATATTGCTGAATTGACATTATGAGATTACTAAAACCAAGACCACCAAGACAAGCTGGGACAAAGAGAATACATTTGGTTGTGTCATGCACATATTCATAAACAAACTCATCTGATCCAATAGGGCTATTTAAGGTAGTTTAGGTAGGTACATGTAGGTTCATTAGTCAATTAATAGATGTTGTGAGCAAAAAGTAATTTAGTATGTCAAAAACACTGGGTTTGATACTCAAGTAACAAGGGTTAACATAACAGCCAAAATCAAAATTTATGCCAGTAGACATGAGCTCCTCCCACCACTTATATAACTACACCATTATAGCATACATGTTATGTACATTGCCATAGCTACAGGATCTTCCTTCAGAAAAGAACATGATCTTACCATCAATGGAAACAGGAACGTCAAGATTACACAGTGCATGCATGTATTGTACATGTATATAGAAATGTATTTCTTCAATTGCTCATACCTCAAAAAGTCAAAGCAAGAATTAGTTTAATTTTTTATATAGCATAAGGACATCAATATGTATCAGAAAATGTAACAAAAATTTGAGGTGATTTTGGAGCAATTTTTTGATAAAACTATGGGCTATGTAGCCTTAAGGAAACCAAGCTTTTAAAATAAATTTAATATAAAAATTAGAGAGCAAATAAATTTAACAAAACAGAGGAGAAAAATTGACAAACTTTGCTTTTCCCTCTAAAATTTGCCTATTATTAAAAAAGTCAAAACTTAAAAATTTTAAGTCAGAATCAGCTCAAATTTTCTACATAGTATACTAAGTACATGTCAATATTTATCAAAAAATGTAACAAAAATTGAGAGCAATTTTGTAGGAAATTTTCAAAAAACAAAAACATGACACAGATCATAATTAATACTATAACTTACTGATTTTTATAAAATGTGCCATGAAATAACAAGAGATTAGAAGAGATAGTATGATAATAGTATATCCCACAATCTTATGTAGTTAATTTGTCAAATAGACAGTCTTGCTGATCGAATGAGTGTCAATACATTAGTATAAGGACAACTACTTGATGAGACAAGTACCAGCATCTCTGGCTAAATGCTAAAAAAGAGAGAGGGGAGGGAGGGAACATAATTATACACAAATACACGTACATGTACATGTACAAGCACATGTAAATGACATCAATACATTTGTATAATAAACTATTATTCTAATTAATATTATTATTATTATTACTAACTTGATTTTCTGTATCTGATTGCTGCGTCCACAAACAGTAAAATATTAATTTTGAAGAACACAAACAAGAAGATGAAATACAACCAATCATTTCTGACATGTTTACATGACAACCAGGAAGGCCAAAATCTCTCCAAAATTTTTTTATCCCGACAAAGTTTTTGCAGAACTAGAAATAAATTATTTATAATTTTATTTATTTGTTTGCCTACCTGGTATTACATGTAAAAATGCATTTTGTTTGTCTCTAAAATTTCTTCATCAATATTTGATAAACTTTCAAGGCCTTGGTTCAACTCATCATAGTCAATAGCACCATCACCTAGTAATAATTCTAATAATACAATAGTACAGTGTAGATGAACACTATGGTACAAGAAAGTTTGTCTGTTGTACAAAGGTGTCCTCAATGTGGAAGCTATTTTATATAGTAAGGAATGTAATTGGTGCACTAGGTGCTGTCTGTTCAATGGAGGTGCATACATGTGCATGTACATGCACATGTACGTTAACACAAATTGTACGTTAATGTACAAATTGCTTACCATCAACATTGTAAACTTGAAATTAAAATGTAAGTATCCAGTTGTGACCCTTTTATTAATAATTTGATTCCACTCCTCATCTCATCAAGACTAATGGATCCATTACTATATTTATGAAATTATTGTGAAGAAACGACTTGCAAGGAATGAAGACTAGAGAATAATATAATGATAGAATTTAAAACACAATGTTGACTATACATTTGTATGTATAATACATGTACATGTACAACATTAAAAATGGTGAATTCTTTCCTAGCCAGTATTGGAAAAATACTTTGTACTATACATGTAGTACATGGTCTTTGGTTTGATCTTGAAGCAACTCAAAAATTCATTAAAAAATCAATTTTAATCAAAATCAGCTGAACCTTTCTAGGCAACATAATAACATGTACCTGTATGTACCAAAAAAATTATAAAAATAGAGTATTCTCTCTTTTTAAAGTTTGGCAAAAAGTGGCCAAATACCCTGTAATTAAAAAATTTGTAAAAATCCAATTTTGATCGAAATCAGTAAAAACAGAGATATGTATCAGGAAAAATTATAAAAATAGAGAATTCTCTCCTTTTAAATTTTGGTAAAATTTGGCCAAGACTTTGTACAGGGTTGTTACCCAATTTTTGACCAACTTAAAAAATTTGTAAAAATCCAATTTTGATTAAAATTAGCTCAAACTTTCTACACAAGATAAGAACAGGAATACATGTACATATCAAGAAAAATATAAAAATAGAAAATTCTCTCCTTTTCAATTTTGGCAAAATTTGGCCAAAGACCCTGTACTATAATAACAAAGTCTTTTACCCAGTTCCGAAGCAACTTTAAAATTTTGTAAAAAATACAATTTTAATCGGAATCAGCTCAAACTTTCTATGCAACATAAAAACATGTATATGTATCAGGAAAAATTATAAAAATGGAGAATTCTCTCTTTTTCAATTTTGGCAAAATTTGGCCAAAGACCCTGTACTAGAACATAAAAAAATTTAAAAAAACAAGATGAAGTAGGATTCCGAACGACCAACGAAAATACAAAATGAAAATCCTACTTGTGACGCAAATTCTACTCTACATTGTAC